AAAAAAAATAACGGTTTCTTACTATAATGGAGATCCAAATCAGTCAGTGTTTGAAGATGATACCTTAGGACTTGTGAGAAACACTGAGCTAAGGAAATAATCAATGACCAGAGGGTACAATTCTTTGGACACCTTGTTCATTTATTCTGCATAAGAGCCCGCTAACCATGGAACTAGTAAATCTGTCATAAACACTGCTTTCACATCTGATTTACGATGAGTTAGATGATGGCGAGAATTTTTTTTACGGTCACATTAGATCGTTCATCAACGCCTTTGGCAACTGGCTAGAGGATTATCGTAATAGATAATCGAAGTCGTTACGCAACAACATTATCCTCACTTCTTATGTCATATATGATCTTCACGCCATCGTAATGTCATAGTCGTCTGCTCTTGTAAATTATGGTCCGCCCCTCGGAATATCACTATTATCACCATACTTGGTCCCTTTGCTTGTTGTGTTTGTAGAGTGTGGACCCCTGAGTACTGCTGTGGTCCGTTGTTGTTCAAGTTCTCTTATAAGGTTAAGTTATTAGGTGCCAGACCACCCATGGTGAGCCAGCGTGACGTACTCACTTCGGTGGTGACCTATCTGATGTGTGATTGATTGGTTGTCTTTCTTGAGTTACTCTCCTCTCGTTGTTTATCTTTGCCTTCGTTATTTCCTCCCTCTTTCCTTCTCTTTTAAATTATTATATGTTGCAGCTCACAATTCTGAGATGGCCCGACCTGAGGGCTTTCAACGCTATAATATAGACTATGATTATGAAGGCTACTCCTACTCAGGTAAAAGTATTCATTACCTAGCAAAAAGACCTAATTCTTGATTTGTTTCTTACAGAGTCTGACTCTGATAGTAGTTCTGAAGGCTCGTCTTCGCTGCCACCTTTTCAGTTGCCCAAAGCAAGGATGGACGAGAAGTGGATGAGGGACAAAAGGTTTGTGCACACTTAATTATCGTTAATTCGATGAACCCTGGGGCAGGGATTAGGTAATAATAAGTGTTTGAAAACACCTACGGTGTTTAGACTCTAAAAGGGACCTCACTGAGGGAGTTTGTTCTTATCGTACATAGCCAAAGTGAGGGCAGAGGTCGTAGCGTTCCGATAAATGAGTTCAACAGAGCGATAAAAAACGTTTAGAACTAATAAGCAAAAATATCAGGACGAAAAACACACATCGTAAATTATTTTCAGAATATCAAGAAAACCACATTATGGTATATCAACACGAGGGCATATCAAACCCACCGATAGCAGTTCACTATCGACTATTCAATCCAATATCTCATCGCTTTTGGAATCCACAAATGATGAGGATGATCTTTCGGATCTCTACACACCTGTGCAGAAAGGCGAAAAACATCGGGTGCCACCTGTATTCGCCATGCCTCAGGTAAATAATGAGTATAGTGGTAATAAAAGTTAGAACATATGTTATCTAGGAACTATCACCTGTCATGGGCACATCAATTGATGAGCCACCAAGTGTTCCCTCATTAAGACTGCAGCGAGATTGGAGACCTCAGCAAACATCCACTTCAACGTCGTTTCAGGTAAATTTGGAGATTTGCCAAGAGAAGCCCGGCTACCATCAACTCAGGAGATCTCTAAAATATTGAAATTTTAGCCATTTGTCTCAACCCTGCCGAAGACCAATCCTCATCATGGTCCAAAATTTGTTAGTTCAACCCCTCGTGCATCAACTGCCAACCGAATTCCTATGTACAGTTATAATCAAATTATTGAAGGAGCATCACGGCCGAGTAGTTATTATAGCGAGGTATGTGTCATTCAAAAGTACATCATAAATGTGGAAGTTTAACTCTGTTTTTAAGGATCTATGCGAACTTCCATCATCAGCACGATCACATGTAGAAAATGTTAAGCCAACATTTTATCGTCCCGAAAATTTTGGCTTGCCAACAGGTGTAGCAAAAAATGTCGGAAGTGAAGGTAAATGGTTTTTCTGATGATAGTTATCAGGGCAGACAATGAGCAAGCTACGCCATCTGCGTAATTTTTTCCATCTTCAATGTGGCTCAAAGGCATCGCGACCGCGCTGCCGCAATGGACGCAGCTTGTGCGTTATCTGCATCGAATGACATATCTGTACTTCATCGATTTATACCCCAAAATTTCAAAACTTCTTTTTCAGGAATAGTCTTTCTGAGTATGACTCTTTGCGGAAACCAATTGAATATTACAATAAATGAAGCCGTATACTTCCAAGATCCATATCAACCACAAATCTCTTCATACGTGAGAGTAAGTTTCAGCTAAAGATTGGTGGTTTTGTTGGCGTCATGTTGCTCAATCTTTTTTCTAGGTGGAAATGCGTAGACGCTGTGGAAATAGCCGGAAGAGATACTACAGGGAAAAAATTCAGTCATATAAAACCCGTAATTGGGTGGGAACAAATCGACCAACATTCAACGAAAAGTTCACATTGTATGGATTTATACTTCAGTTATATATGTATAAGCTTGTGAATCAGGAAATAGGCGATTTTGCTTGCTAACCTGTTCGTAAACATTTGATTTTTGATCCATATATCGCAAACGGTCGCAATTTGAATCTTATCGTAGAGCGCCATCGCAAAGACTTAGGTAGCGGAGAATGATTGCTTGATTTTGTACTGAGGCGGCAATCTCTTTTACTCTGAAATGCGAAATTATTAAGAAAAAGAACTGTCAAAGAATGTCCAACTTTCCTTACGACCGAATAATGTGCTATAAAATGTTTTTTTCTTGCAGTTACATCGATGAGGACAACTATTTCCGCGACTTGCTTACGATCAGTGTTTACAAACTGAAAGCGGACAATCACCAGCAGTGAGTTTAATTAGCAGTCGCGAATAAATAAGCTTCACCTTCTTATCTAAAGCACTACTCGCGTCACAATATTGACCTGGTTTAAAATTAGCCTTTTCCTATTTGATCACTGAACAATCAGTCACTTGCTATAAAGGACAAACAAGTGAACAATTTAGGCGAATGAGAATGCTCGGTTGCATGACTTTTCCTGTGAAGCGGCTGATGAAAAAGGCAAGAGAAGCAGTGAGTTTTACTTCCTCATTTCGAATTTGTTATTCCCGCGCGCATTCTGTAAATC